TATAATCAGGTCAGATTAAAAAGCAGGACCCCAATTATGTGTTGCCCATAAGAAATCAATGTAAAGACACATCTAGGTTAAATTTAAACGAATGAAAGACAATATTCTGGACTAAAACTAATTTAAAAAAATCTGTACTGTCTACATTAATTTCAGATAAATTAAACTTCAGTGCAGAAACTATAATCTAAGATAAAGACCATTTCTTCTTGATAAGAGAATCAATAAATCAATAAGATATCATAATCACAAGTATTTGTACATCTACTAATGCAGGTTCAAAAGATATGAGGCAAAAACAGATACAACTACAAGGAGAAATAGACAAGTCCACAATTTTTGTCATAAATTTTAATATCTGCTTTCAATTTATGGAACGAGGAGGAAGAAAATCAGGAAAGGTAAAGACAACTTGGACAATACCATCAACCAACTTAACCTAACTGACACTGGTAGAACACTCCATCCAACAACAGTGCAATACACATTGTTATCAAGTACAGAGAGAACTTGTTTGTTTTGTATGAAGTACATATACAACAAAATCAACACAGTGTACCAACACAGCATACTTAACAAATTTGAAAGAATTCAAGTCAGACAAGGTATATTCTCTAACCATAACAGAACTAAATTAGAAATTAACAACATAAAGGAATTCACAAATAATTGGGAGTCAAACAACACACTACAAAAGTTAACTTTTCATTTACTTTTTCTGAGGAGGTTAACAGGATGTTCTCCAGCAAAATTAGTAAAGGGCGTAAAGCAAGGAAGGGAAAAACCTGCCCTTCAGGACACAGGAAATACTACATAAGATCTTATCAAAGGGAAGTGCAGAATGATAGCTAGCCATGGAACCAGCAGAGAGCAACCAGTCTGGAATTAGGAAAGGGTAGGAAGAGTTTTGCGAAGGAGGTTTCAGCAACAAAATTAAGGTGAGACATCAGCTGGTATATTTAAACATAGGCATTTATGATGAATGGAGAGATTTGGATTATCCAAAGATATGCGTATAGTTAATTATAAGATAAAAGGCAGGTAATTAGGTAACACTGGTAAAAATTAAAAGTGGTAGAAGAAACATGATTATGTTATACTCTTTGGCTCTACAGAGAAGACCATTTTGTATTGTTCCAATAAAGTGAGCAATGGTTATTAATTTTACTAAATAATATGTGATAGCTACATTGGTAAAAGTATGTTATGTAATAGAATTTAATATTTATTCACAATATTAGTAAATAATGCATCTATATAATAAATCAAGAGTAGGCTCACACTGCCTTAAATACCAGAAGAAACAATTTTCAGAAGTTAAAAGTGTTGTTTCTGGAAGCTACCACAGCTAAGAGGGACAGGAAAGAATGATCTGAGGATTAATATTTCCCATTGTAAGCTCTCTTTAATTTTTAATTAAGGCAAAATTCTATAGAGGTTTTTTTTTAATAAAATATTTTTTAACAATAGAAGTAATTAAACTGCAAATAGTCATATGTCCTATTATTTTCTGATTTAACTGAGGACAAAGAAGAGGAAATAGTCAATTTCTTAGCATTGTCTACTGTCACCTGAGCTGTTGTAGGTAAAGCAGAATATGCCCTACGTGTAAAAGTTAGGCATAATGCTGTAGTATTTAAGTAAGTGTACTAACAGGCAATGTTAAGTTATAAGGGTAATGACATTTTAAAATAACATTTAAAAGGATAGTGACATTGTAATAAAGTTAATGGACTGGGGAGCGCATCAAAAAACTCAGTAATCACTAACTCAATAACAATTTAATGAAATATATAAAAAATCAAAACTAATGCAAAAAAAACTACTTCAAGTAAAATATCAAAATTTAAAGTAAAGACAGGATCATATTATTTTTATTTTTTAAACTTATTTAATTATTTGTTTAGCTTATAAATAGTAAGTGTTATAGATACTAGAAGATTTATTCTCATGTCTGTTTTTGTACCTCAAAATTCTGTGTGAAGCTTAACTCTCATCATAAGGGAAAACTTTTTGAAAACTTTAACCTACTATCTAAGTGTGAGATGCTTCAAATAATCTCCACAATACTGCATTACTTATTAGATCATCAATTCTGATCAAAGGCATATGTCTTCTGGTACTTTCTAGCAAAGTCATCCGTGCTCTGTATTCTCCAATGCCCCTAGCAAAATAAATAATTCGTACAGGTACCACTTTCTTCACAGGTGAGTAGTGTTTAATGTTATTAACCATTTGTTCCATTTACTTTACCCCTTACAAAAAAAGGGCAATTTGTCTACATTCCACTCTTGTTTTTTTCCGTTGCTCACAGCATGGACTGTAATAACAGGGAGGGATTAAACACATTTTCTGTTTAGAAGAAAGTGCACATGTGAAAATGTCAGTGATAGAGTGCCAACATTTTGAAAGTGATAGGTAATTTGGAAGCCCATGAGTAGCCAGTAGGGAGAGTGAAGTCATACCTCTCCTGGACACCTTCCTCTAAGATCTGTTTCTCTTATGGTCTATTTTTCAAATTACTAACTTTGCACAGACTCCAAAGCAACCTGCATACAATAATCTGAAAGGAAAGGTCAATGTAGAGGTCACAGGTTTTAAGGGTGCTACTTCACAGACATTTATCTTCTTTACAACACCATTAGTCCTGGGTAATGGTCTATTGTCTTTCATCATTCCAACCTCTTCACCTGCCTGTTTACTTTGAGTCCAACCTAAGAATTTAAGCCCCAGCATAAATGGGGTTTTTGTGCTACTTAGCACTGGCCCAGTGGAAGCTTGTTCATGGTCTGGTTTACAGTTGTCAGTTGTTTATAGGAAATACAGTCATGAAGGAAATGATATGGCTTAGTCTTTTTGATAAAACATGGAAAAGACTTTCTTAGGGGAAGAGTAACAATGAGGAAAAGAACTTCATGTATTGAGATGTTTAATGTAGTTCTATGTGTCTAAAATAATATCAGGAATACACGTATTCAACAATAAAGCTGACTACATTTGTGTAGTAACTGTTCTAAATATTTTATAACTGATACCTCACTTAATCCTTATTGTGACCCTTCGAAATAGGTATTACTAATTCCATTTTACAGATGGGAAAAGATTGTTAAAAAAAGATCAGTAGGTAACGTTTCAAGTTTATAGAACTGCTATTGGAACCGAAGAGGATAGCTACAGAGCATAGGTCACTAACAACTGTGCTATGCAACCTTGCGTGGAGAGAAATAGCATGACTACTTGGTGAATTATTATTCACCTTTAAAATAGCATAAAGTCTGTGTATAACATAAAGATGCAATAAAAAGTTCAGTACCCTGTAATTTAAACTCAGTAAAATATATGCAGTATAGATAAAGACTAAGAAGTAACAGGAAAAATTGACAGAGGCCAAGGACCCCCCAGATGGTCAAAAGGGAAAAAAATCTCAAAACTAAAATATGACAGAAAAGATCCTTGGCAAAATCTATGTGTTGTTGCAAGAACTGTGTTCCTGATCATACTCAGCCTCGCCTGTTGAATTATGATTTCTTAGAAACTTCTGGAATAAATTCTAGTTTCTAAATTCTTAGAAACTTCTCTTACTTCTGCATGTTATCCAATTCACTTTGGTTCTCAGACTATAGACTAGTTTACTCTAGTGTGTCTGATACTCACCATACATTCCCAGTCTCTGCCTTGTGTAGCCTTCTTCATACCAGAAATAATAATTAGACTACTTACATTATTAAAAATGTTTCTTCTTTTAAGAAAAATAGTCTTATATGATTGTGGTATATAGATTCATTTCTTTCAAAATCCTATCTTGATTGATCAAATGTATTATGCTTTATTAATGCCTATTGAAAACATAGATAATGAAAAATTGGATGTGAGACCTACACATTAAAAAAATGTTCCCATAATTATGAATGAGGTAATATTTGGAGGTACAAGTTGTACTGGGAGAAAAAGGAAACGATAAATTCTAGACAGAGTCAGTGATAATCACATCAATGCATTCATCCAATCTACAAATAGTTATTGAGCACGCTTTTTGCCAGGCACTGTGCTAAGTGCCAGGTGTTCGGTGGTGACCAAAATGAATGAGGTCTCAACCCTTATGGTTTTTACCATGTAATTAGTAGTAGAAACAAACTTTAAATAAGTAAATATAAATATAAAGTTGTTAACTGTTGAGTGTTATGAAAGAGAAAGAACGTCATGACAGAATCATCTGGGGACCTACTTTAGATGCAGCATTCAAAGAAGGTCTTCCTGAAAAGGCGAGGCTTAAGATAAAACCTGAAGGATGAGACAGGAGCAGGTATTATGAAATCACTGCAGGCACATTCAGTGAGGGGGGGAATAACAGAACATGTCAGGACTCCACAGTGGTCAAGAAAAGGTCAATGAAGCTAGAGTGGACAGACTAATGAGGGGATTAATGTAGGTGAGCGCTGTGGTACAGGCCTAGTAGTCATCCAGGTGGAGATGTCAGGTAGGCAGTTTGATACTCAAGTGCTGACTTCAGATTTTGGTCAGATGACAGCTGCTGTGATCAACCAGTAAATGGGAATATATGCCCAGAGAAGAAAAAATGTAAATGCCTTGAGGCAGAAGTGCATCTGATCCAGTTGGAGTAGGGGAGGGAAGGGGCGAATAAATACTAGATGAAGCAGAGGGGAAAGATGGAGCTCGATCATGTATGTTTTACAAACCCTTGTAAGAAATTTGTCTTTTCCTTGAGCCATGAAGCTTATGTTACTTTAAGTTTTCTTCTAAAGTTTGAATGATCACCATTTTCTAAATTTTCCCTTAGTTCGTCTCTCCTAGTTTGGAGGACAAATAAAGTATGTAGGATTGCCTTTCTTTATAGTATCAAACTGGTTAGAGTTTGATACTTGTTTCTATAAGACTAGGTACTATATTCATAGATGCATCAAATAAGCGTCACCAAATGCATATATTTTAATTACTTACTGTTTACTAGTGTAGCACAACCATCCCATACCGGGTAGGTTCATTGCCCGTTCAAGCAGCCGTGTTGGTGTTTTCATGCTCTCTGCTGTTGGCTGCCACACTCCTCCACACTCCACTGCACTCCTGGGTCCTCGGCACCACGCCGCGCCACACCACTTGGCCAAGTGTGCATGAGGGTAGGAGGGCGGAAAAGCCTGATGCTTCTCCCTTTTACTTACCCCATAGCTGGTCATTAGACTAGGCACTGAGGACACAAAGATAAAAGAGATTTCGGTCCTACACTTAGTTATCTGAAACAAATTGTTTTAATGTTTCATGCTAAGAACAATGAAAGATATATGAAGAAAAAGGAAACTTCATTCTGCTTGGTCAAATGGAGAATGTGCCTGTAGGGCTTAATGCTTGAGCTAGGACTTAGCAAATAAATAGATGTTAGCGAGGCAAAGGTGGCAGGAGTAGGGACCGGTGAAATGGAAAATAAAAGTTCAGAGGGATAGTTCAGGCAAAGTAGACAATGTTAAATTGTTCCAGGGTAGTCTCAGGGGAACTAGGGTGACTTGGGTATGAGTCCTGACCTGTGTGCTTAACAATGCAGGACAAAACCCAAAAGAAATATACAGAGAGAAATGAAGTTAAAAACGGTTTATTTAGAAAGGCAGCTGGGGGGGGGGCAGGGAGATTGTAAGGTGGAGAGAGAGAGAGAGAAAGGGAGAGAGAGCAGAGTTTTTTCCATTTCTAGAATATAGTTGGTCTGTCCTAGTCAAAAGAGAGAAAAAAAACTGAAGATGTCAGTCAAACAATCTAAGCTCTCTTAGATTGAGCTCCCAACATCTGGTCTGTACAGGCTTTAGTGTCAGACTCTACCTAAGATTTCCTCTTGAGATCGCTAGGACTTTTTTTCTTAGGGATTTCCAGGCCTGTCGATGGAGGCAAGCTTCCTCACCTTTGCTGGAGGTCTCTGGAACTCTCCAAGCTAAGTGACAGACTCTCTTCTTGGTCCCACGCAAATTCAACTCCCAGAAGTAGTTCAATCAAAGCTGCAAAATGAAATAATTTCTAATTCTCTAGGTTAAGGACAAACAAATAACATTCCTTACTGAAATTATCCAAAGATAGACCCTTTGCCTTGAGTAATAAGAATTACTCCGACTTTTCCATATTATGATGGTATTAAGGAGAGAGAGAAAAATGCACACACAAGTAAGTCTGTTTGCAAAAATGCAATTTAATAAAAAAACAAAATTATCATACAACTGTAAGTCAGAGACATTCTACAGGGAGGAGAAAGGAGAGAGATCAAAACAGGGAAGGGAAGAGCATAAGGGACTATGGTGATGGTTCACGCATGAATTGGTAGGGGGAATTTGATGGGGACTACCACCTGAGAGGAGAAAGCAAACATTGTACAAAAATGAACAATGATGTAAAATATATATATAAATTAATATTTTTAAAAATGCAATTTAATATTGCTATAAATCCTGGCTAGCTAGAAAATCAGGCTGTAGGCAGCTTTGCAGCCCAGCGCTCAACCACTGCGCCACTGGGGAGGCCCCACATATAAATTTTAAAACACCAATGTTAACATTTATGGAAATGCCAAGATTAAGCATTTTTCTTAAGCAGCAATGCTTATACTAGTTCCAGTTTCCTAGATAAATGTCAAATACATCAAATTCATCTAATATTTTCCTATAAGGAAAAGGAGAAATTTTATGGAGTGTCTTAGGAGCTCTACTGAGATTCCATAAAATTTCTGCTGGTCAATCAAATAAAATTCTACCAATTTCCCTAATTTAGAGTTTTCAGAAGTTTTATCGTACATATTAGGAAAAAATTCCATTTAATTAAGGGAAATCGCTGGCCAAACTCATCAACACCATGCTGACAGCCAAACCCTAATCTTTTATTTTGATTCTAAAACGGAAGGTTTTAATTTTCTCACAACTCCCATTTTACCCAAGATTAAAAGATTTTACGTATCCAACATCAATAACCCAAGGCAAAGAGAAAAAAATCATATTAAATAAAATCTTATAGGCATACGTGTTTCAAACCAACCGTTACATTTTAAATTAGTTCCCACTAATCAAAACTTATCCCAGGCCATTCTTCCTGGAAGTTCTTATACCAGTTTCCTTTATATTTCTTTTTTTTTTTTAAGATTTATTTATTTTATTTATGCAAGCACTGGGTACAGTGAGAAGTGTGGAAGGGCGAGAGAATTCACCAGAGACAGAGCAGGGAACAGAACAGGCAGACTGACGAAGCACACTGCTGAGGGGAGCAGCGGGGGGCAGGCCCCATTTATATTTCTGAGCTCAAAATTTTATAGGCACTATCTATACTAATTTTTATTCTTGGAGTTCAAAATAATTATAGAGAAAAGGGAAGATGGGTCTCCCCGGTGGCGCAGCGGTTGAGCGCTGGGCTGCGAAGCTGCCCGCAGCCTCTGCAACGCCAGTTCAATCCCCGGCCACCGAGAGGGTCCCACATGGTGCACAGACCTCTCCTGCTTCACCTGCTGCTCCCCTCAGCAGTGTACTTTGTTGGTCTGCCTGTTCTGCTCCCCGCTCTGGCTCTGGTGAATTCTCTCACCCTCCCACGCTTCTGACTGTACCCAGTGCTTGTATAAATAAATAAATAAATCTTTAAAAAAAAAAAAAAGGGAAGACACACAGACATATAACACATAGACACAGACAGTTCCCTTAGTTTTTATTTAAGCCTCGTGGAATACAAATATGCAATTATATTTACTTAAAAGGTCATGGCCAAGGAAGGGGTTGGCCATGTATAGAAAGCTCTGTTGTATAGAAAGCTCTGATGGAGCTTTCTGTATCACCGAATTAGCATTCTAGTGCTGGTAAGAAAGCTTTCTGTTGTGGTCTTCCTATTACCTAGTGACTGGTGCTCTCTTCCTGCTGACCTGAGCTAATTCAGAATTCAGAACTGAATAGGTTGCTCCAGTATCTACCGAAAAATCAAACGGTCCTCCATGGTGAGCGTTATCCTGAGCTTCAAGGGGGTTATCATAATAGCTTTTTCAGAACAAGTGGAGCCCCTGGGCTCCCCTATTCCTCGTTTGAACCCCCATCCTGATATACCATTTCCTCCTTTCCTCTTCCCTTGTTTCTTCATTTCTCTTAGTCTCCCTGTATTCCTTGTATTCACAACCCTTGTCTGAATCGCGTTCTGAGCTGTCATCTGTTTCCTTTCCTTTTGTTCTACTTTCTCATTCCTTCTTCCCCTTCTTGTTTCCCACCTGAAACACCTGTTTGTTCAATCCATCCATCAGGAATTGGTGAGGAGGGAATTATCTACCCCAGGGCATCACCTTTTGCCAAATTGGGTTCCCTGTCTGGTGTGAGCAGAACATATCCTGTGTTGTCAGCTAGGCCTGTGGTGTCTCTGTAGCCATCACAGAAGGGACACTGGCCTCCAGGAAGGACTTCTCAGCTGGTGGGTTCAAAGTTTCCAGTAAGTGATGGTCCTCCTCCTCTTCCTCTCCCCTTGTACAGCTACAGGGTAAGGGGAAAACTTCTTCCTTATTTGTGTGATCAAACTGGGCCCGGCATTTTCTAAGTCTGATTTACAGCTGGCAGCCCGAATTTGCTTGTTCAGGCTCCTGGCTGGAGTTGCAAATCTAGTTTACAGAAACCAGCCTATGACTCTCAGCAGCCTATGACTTTTCAGTAAAAATTTGTTCTTGGGTACTCTTGGTGGCCAAAGTAGCTAGATCTAATCTACAGAGAGCAACCTGCATTTGTCCTTGCATACTCTTTCGGCCAAAATAAAAGCCTCACCTCCTCTCAAGCCAAAAACATGTTGTATAAAATGCTTAAACACACACCCAAGAGGGTCCCCAGAAGCACCAACTCTCAACTAGAGTTTGAAACAGAGTTCCATATGTATGCCCACAGGAACAAAACCATCTCCCATGCAGCAGGCTCGATCACATTACCCATACCAAGAAAACATAAGAAAAATACGAAGGGGAACTGCCTAAACTAGTGATTGAATCCATGTTTAAATCAACACACACACACACACACACACACACACACACACAAAGAGTTTATTGAAGCAAAACCAAGCTCCTCTAAATTGGAGACAAAATATCCTTCTGGGGCCTCCCCTGGTGGCACAGCGGTTGAGCGCTGGGCTGCGAAGCTGCCCGCAGCCTCTGCAGCGCCAGTTCGATCCCCCGCCACTGGCGAGGGTCCCACATGACGTGACAGACCTCTCCTGCCACACCCGCTGCTCCCCTCAGCAGTGTATTTCGTCAGTCTGCCTGTTCTGCTCCCCGCTCTGGCTCTGGTGAATTCTCTCACCCTCCCATGCTTCTGACTGTACCCAGTGCTTGTATAAACAAACAAACAAATAAATGAATCTTTAAAAAAAAACCCAACCAAAAAAACCAACAAAATATCCTTCTGAACGTCCCACAATCATAACACATGGTGACCTACGCAAGGAAGGATCATTTGGGATGGCCAACCATGGAGCCTTACAATTATATCAAGCTGTTCCAGGCCAGCTATAGGACAAATGGGCTCACCTGTGGAATATTTTGGAAAAGAGATTACCTGACACAATCCTGATCCCACACATTCCTATTGAAGAAAACACTTATGAGAATTTATAGTCTATATATACTCGTAAGATTCTGGAATTTATAAAGATTATCTAGATCTCATTCTATAGATGAGGAAACTAGGACCTGAAAAGTTTGACTTGCTCAACACCAAAAAGCGATGAATGACTATGAGAGATTGGAGATTGGATTAGTCAGCTTCTATACCTTGTCCTTCAAGAGACTATGAAGGAAGCAAAGGATGTGCTCAGAAATCTAATCTATAACATAATTAGATTAGCTGTAATGTAGGAAGGATGCTGCATATGGAAAAACTTTCTCGAAACTATATGTTTTGCTCTTATCACATAAATTACATGATTATTTTCTTCTTTTCAAATGTGGATATCCTGCTGAGATCATTCCTGCTTTAGTCACCTGGAGGCAGAGGAATATTCTCAGATAACTCCTAGGCATTAAGACAGAAGACCTGGGGAATGTAGACTGGAGAAATAACTCTTGGCTTAATCTCCAAATAGTCCATGTGTCTGGGAAGATTTTCCTTTGATGAAGCTTAAAAGTAGCATCCATGAGAAGCAAGCATCTAGCAGGTAGGATGACATCTTAAAATACAGTGTTTTCCTGTGTTTTGCTCAGTCATATTTTGTACACCTGATTATTTTTGATTCATTTGCCTCTCTGACTTCATTTCTCTTTGATATACTCCTGAAGCAATATATTTGGGGCACGCATGGGCCAGTTTTAAAGGGGTGAACATTTTTTTTTCTGAGGCCATTAGGGAGAGACCCTAATGTAGTCATTTAATCTGGGATCACTTTTGAATCCTGGAGGACATGGGGTAATGTCTGGACACACTTTTGTCACAGCTGGTGGGAGGGGGATGCTATAGGCATCCGGGGGTGAGACCAGAGGTACTGCTGCTGAACATCCTGTGACACTCAGAATCCTTACTACACAGAATCATACATTTCAAAATGTCCAGTGTACCAAGAGTGAGAAACTCCACCCCCAAAGATCAATGTCAGAAGAACATAATTGGTGTCATGTAGCCACACTGCTCCCAACTTCTTTTTTTTTTTTTTTTTAATAGAGGCGTGTTTGTTTATTTATTTATTTATTTGTTTGTTTGTTTTTGTTTATACATGCACTGGGTACAGTCAGAAGCGCGGGAGGGTGAGAGAATTCACCAGAGCCAGAGCAGGGAGCAGAGCAGGCAGAGGGACCGAAGTACACTGCTGAGGGGAGCAGCGGGCGGCAGGGGGGGTCTGCGCGCCATGTGGGACCCTCCTCCGGTGGCCGGGGAGCAGCCGGGGATCGAACCGGCGCCGCAGAGGCTGCGGGCAGCTTTGCAACCCAGCGCTCAACCGCTGCGCCACTGGGGAGGCCCCCTCACTACTCCCAACTTCTAAGAGATTTCCTTCCAATGCTATCTTTGTTTGC